GGCCCAGACCCCTGCGCCATAGGATTTAGACCGGCGTGCTGACCTCTCTGTTGTGCCTAGGTAGGGCTGCGACGTGTTCATCTTCCGAGGCCGAGCATGACCCGGTAAAGTGTGTCCGGACAAAGGGGATCGAGCGTGTTGGGAAATGTGGTGCACCCCTGCAGGGAAGTTAATCTATTCGAATAGCCGTGATCTTCGGTAACAGGACGACTTGGAGTTGTACCTTGACCTTATGACAACTAGAATCGGATACTTAATAAAATACACCCTTCCAAGTGCCATATACAACCGGTGATCGCTCTCTCACAGGGCGACGAGGGGAGGATCATCGGTTAGGATTATGCTATGCGATACTACTTGGTGAACTTACCATCTACTCTCTTCTTCTACTGCAAGATGGAGGTTACCAGAAGCATAGTCTTCGAAAGGACTAGCTATCCCCCCCCCCTTATTCCGGCACTCTGCAGTTCAGTCCACCTATGATACCCTTTTTCCATTTGATACCATTGCATACATATGTAGTGTAGCTCCTTGCTTGCGAGTACTTTGGATGATTACTCACGGTTACTTTGCTTCTCATTTTCCCCTTTCCTATACCCGATTGCTGCGACCAGACGTTGGAGCCCAGGAGCCAGACGCCACTGTCGATGATGACTACCACTACTCGGGAGGTGCCTACTACTACGTGCAGTCCGCTGACGACGACCAGGAGTAGTTTAGGAGGATCCCGGGCAGGAGGCATGCGCCTCTTTCGATCTGTATCCCAGTTTGTGCTAGCCTTCTTAAGGCAAACTTGTTTAACTTATGTCTGTACTCGGATATTGTTGCTTCCGCTGACTTGTCTATGATCGAGCTCTTGTATTCGAGCCCTCGAGGCCCCTGGCTTGTAATATGATGCTTGTATGACTTATTTTATTTGTAGAGTTGTGTTGTGATATCTTCCCGTGAGTCCCTGATCTTGATCGTACACGTTTGCGTGTATGATTAGTGTACGATTGAATCGGGGGCGTCACACCATGATCCTGAGTGTGCGTAGGAACTTTTTTGAAATTACTACGTTCCCTAACATGCCCGGCTTGGATCCGGGCGGGTTGCATGCGCCGAGCCAATTCGATGATGTCGGTGCAGATGTCCAGCTCAGGCTCCGATCCGCCGATCTTGCCAATGAAACGTGGATTCCCCGAAGGGGACCCGGTACCCGTAGTCAATTGAGTCGGCCTCGGGGCCCCAGCCAGCGTCGTTGATGTAGAGCTTGCTGCAGCGACTCTTGGTCACCCTGCCAACAGTGTATCCCTTGATCCCTGGGGAAGAGCCCTTCGAGAACTCGAAACCACCATGCGCCGGCCCCACGGTAGGCGCTAACTGTCGTGGTTTTGTCACGGCAGATGTCCTAGTGAAAGGACTTAAGCGTGAAGCCATGACAATGGTGATTAACTTGTCTGGGTTGAGCGGGACGAGATACGAGTTTACCCAGGTTCGGCCCCTCGAGATTGAGGTAAAATCCTACGTCATGGTTTGTGTTGTATTGCTTGAGTATCGATTACAAGGGAGCGGATTCGCTTGACCTAGCTATTGATTGTAACATGTCTATTCTATACTAGGGACTCGCCTTTATATACAGGTCGAGGCCGTCGGTTTACAAGAGTCCGGGTCGGGTCATGCTTCGTGACCGACCCTAGTTCTAAGTCTCCTTGCCTTCCACGGCAAGTCTCCTTTCGGCGGCTTACACTTCTGGGCCACGCACCATCTTCTGGCCTTGGGCTCAATCTGGCCCATCTTGTAAGTAGCCTCTTCAGCCGTGTATCTTTATCTCGGCTTGCCTGAGGCTCGTCGTCTTGAGTTGCCCGAGGCTTAACCCAGGCCTTACTGGCGGGTTATAATCGCGGGTTTACATCCACAACTGTATCCGACAACTTTGAGCCTGTCGATGGTACCGGTGGTGACGGTGGAACGCATTCGCTGCCCCCTCCGCCGATGTTTTTGACCTTGGATCCTTTCTTTGTGCTATCCATCTTTTGTAGAGAAGGAGGAAAAAGAGCTAGGACTCGGGACTTTTGTATTCGTGGCAAGTTCTATGCGCTAGAGCAGAAGGTGAGGATGCATGTGAAATAGATTTACCGACTCCCCGCCTTTTTATAGGGTGATCGAAGACGAGGGGTTGCCCGCCACGGGGAACAAATCGCCAATTCCCAATGTGTTATGCAGTCTATGTGCGTAAAAATCAAGTGTGTATTGATGATATCGCTGAAAAACCATAAGGCTGGTCACAATGGACAGGAACTTAGGAGTAATATCACACACTCCAATGCAACTTTGCTTATGTGGCACATATTTAATGAAGAGAGAGGTGCTTGTGGTAACTAGCTAAGTTACCGGAACATCACACACTCCAAGAAACAATGAGTCTATGACCTAATAAATACATTGTTGCATGACACTACATACATGTTCCTACCCACTATGGAGGTAGTAACATAGTCTAGGGAAGTGTGTAGGCTACTAGCTTATGTTCCTGCCCATTGTGACCAGCCTAAGCGGCTCTGGGCCACGATGTCTCTCATAATGACTGTGGATTAGATAGTTTGACTCTGCCACGGGAGGTGACGCTTCAAAGGCTGTTGGGTTCTTTTTTTGACCTGGTCAAAGCCTTTGTGGCTAAGCTAAAGAGAAAAATTTATACTTCGACCTCGCTAAATGGTTAAGTGCACCAAGGAAGGAGGTCTTGTTAAAAGAACCCCCATTATCGGATTCGCGATTGTGAAAGCCAAGAAGATCTTGCAGCAGAGCATGACCTCGGAATTGGAAGCCGACGTGAAGGATGGAACTCGACTACGAAGTTGAAGACTCAAGACTGTGAACCTACCCCAACGGGGATATCCAATGACCTCCGCTTGAAGACTAGTTCGAGGGCTACTGACGGTGTCCCGGATTAGGGGGTGCGCATCACGTCAGCCCATCATTCATGGGCTCGGCCGAGGACCCACCAGTGGTTGAACGGGTCCTGGCTAGGCCGATACCCTCACCGTCATCCAAATGAAGATCTCCTGAAGACTTGGGGTGCACTTCACGATGTATCTAAAGGATCAACATGCTTTATCCCTAATTGCAACCAACCATTTGTAAACCCTAGGTACCCACCGCATCTATATAAGTCGTAGGGTTTAGACTGTAGAGACACATTCGCCAAGTTTAGAGCTTAGAACATCTTCATAAGATCCCGAGGTAGATCAATATGTGCTTTGTACCCCATCACAATCAATATATAAGAAGCATGACATAGGTTTTACCTCATCAAGAGGGACCGAACCTGGGTAAAACATCATCTCCCTACTTTCCCTATTACCATCTAGCTCAGATCACCAAGCTTGGGACCCTCTACCCGAGATCTGTCGTTTTTAGCGCGAACAATGTGATCGAGGCGGTGGAGACGATGGAAGAGGGAGGTGATGAACTTTGGGAAGCAGGTGGCGAGCTCGATCCATGCTAGTGGGTGGATTTTTGCTATTGAATTCAATATGCGGGCATGTACAGAAGATACCAAAGCAATGTGTCCCACTACACACAATACACGCCCTAGCTATGTTTGACTATGGTATAACTACACTTCAAATCAATGCACCATCGTACAATAGCAGTCTATCCGGTAGAAATCTGTTCCGCTAGAATTTGTTTTCCGTCCTTGCTGTGTCACCGAGACGATGAATGTCGTATAAAGAAGAGTGAATTCCATATTTAACCCCCCCCCCCCCGCCCTACATTGATATCTTTTGTGCTAGTTACCCTATTAACAATCTTCATCTGAATTATTCCATTTAGCAAAAGTTGTATCAAATTTTACCACCTTGAAAGTATTTTAGGTGTGTATAGCATCTCTAGTGGTTCTTTTACTCGACAAAGTGCCGATGAAAGTCATGTCTAGTATAGTGCAGCACCCGAAAAGCAAATGCGGTGAAGAAGAATGAGGTGGAAGCAATGAACAAGGACCACCGTATCCCAAGAAAAAACTCATCATCGAAGTAAAGCTACATACACTATGAGAAATTAAAAAAAAAGTCCCACCAAGTCAATGTCTAGCCCGGGTGAGGGAAAGAAATGTCAGGAGAAAAATTGCGACTTGGGTCGCCATGTATACCAGATCGTACAATTGATAGACGGGTGATTGTGGTAAAAACTCATACTCCCTCCGTTCACTTTTATAAGTCGTTTCAGACAACTCAAAATAGGCTGTTTTGTACATTGTCTGAAATGTCTTCAAGGTCTTATAAAAGTGAACAGAGGGAGTATATTTTTTGCTAAATGTGATAAGAACGAGTAAATATTTAGATGTGTCTTAGTTGTTGCACATCTAAGTGACTTAATTAGCACAAAAAGAAAAAGAAAACACCCACACACGAATCTCCAACTAAGATCAATGACACACGACTTAAATGTGCAATACTTATGGCACATCTAGATGTGCTTTAGCAAAACTATAAATTATTTTTTAAATGGGTAATTTAAACAGTTTTGCTAAAGCACATCTAGATGTGCCGTACGTATTGCACATCTAAGTCCTATGTCATTAATCTTACGTCGAGATTCGTGTGGATATTTTCCTTTTTCTTTTTTCTTTTTTCTTTATGCTTGATTCACTCACTTAGATGTGTAATAACTAGAGCACATCTAGATGTGCCCTAGACACACCTTAATTTAAATGAAAATCTATTAAACTGAGTAATTTACGTAAAGATATAGTAGCAGCAGGGGATAAAAACTGTATTTCACAACTTAAAGAATGGGTAATGGGTAACAATTAAATACTGACAATTCTGTAAACACTGCACGAATGCACAGTCTAACATTGCCTGCATATCTATGAGGTCCATATACAGTATACTACTGGAATCTGCATATACAATATCATGAAGTCTACCAAGTACGGAGTACCAAGTTTATCAAAAAAAAAGTCTACCAAGTACCAACACATCCACTCTGTCGCATCAGCTCGACCAGCGCCCATGTCACGTGCTGCCGGCGGCGCTGATCTTCACGTCCGGATTCCGCACCGTCTTGAGCCACATCCCGGCGAGCACCCTCGACGACAGGCTCCAGACGACGTCTGGCCGCCGCCGCTGCTGCCTCACCCTCGCTGCCTGCGACGATGGCGGCGTCTGCGCCCTCTTGGCGGCGCGACCCGGCCCGTGCGCGAGCGTCCACTGCATCGCCGTCAGCTTCTGCCGCTCGGCGCGCCAGCTCGCGCTTCCGCCGACTCCCGACAAGCACCTCGTCTGCACTCCGCCCACGTGCAGGCTCCTCACCTTGAACCTCCCCCCGCTGAGCCCCGCCGCGCCCAGCATCCGCGCCGACTGGACGACGGCGATCATCGGCGCGCCCACCGCCTCGTAGCGCCGGGACGGGTCACGCAGCTGGATGGCCGCCACCAGCGTGACGCGGCCGTCCGAGCCGCCACGGGACTCGGACCACTCGTCGGACGGCACCAGTGCGTCGAACACGTTCGCGTCCCCCGCAGCCGGCGCTACCTCGAACGGCGGCTCCTCGTCGGCCATCTCGGCCTGGATCATGAGCGCGTCCACCGCCATGGCCTCGAGCTTCTGTAACGAGAATGCGAGTACCTCGTCCAACGTCTCCGGATCGTTTCCCGCGCTCCAGATGCCGGTGGCGACGCGCTCCATCCGGCCCTCGGACAAGGCGGTGGCGAGCTTCCGGACGAGCCTGACCGACCGCGCCGCGCTTGAGCTCGCGCCGCCCTCGGTCCGCCTACCGCCGATGACCGCCTCCGCGATGCCCTCGAAACCCACTTGCTCGGGCGTCTTTCCGGTAAGGCTTTCCATGCGCCCTAGCGACGCCACCTTGTCCCGGACCTCGTCGGGTCTTCCCGCCGCCGCCATTTTCTGGAGCACGTCGAATCCAGTAGCGGCCATGGCACTTGGCAACACGAAAGGCCTCGACACCTGCATGGCGAGCACCGGGTGCACGTCTCTGCTTGCAAGCGGCACGTTGTACGGGTTCATCGACACCAAGAACCCGCCGTCACGCGTTTGCACCGCCGGGCCAAGGCTCTGTCCCAAGTCCGGCACCACGGGCGACTTCTTCTGCGACTCGCTTGATCTTGGTGTCATCGGCTGCTTCAGCTTCCTGAACTTGTCGTCGTCCACTGCCTCGAGCTTCCTAAGGAACTCAACGGTCACCATCTCTTCATCGGCATCGAGGCGCGGCTGCTGACCGGCTCCCCCCGGCGACTTCTTGCCGCCGCTCGCCATCAGCGCCTCGATGGCCTCGATCTGCTCGCCAATGGAGTCGAGCTCGCGTAGCACGTCGCGCTGGTCCTGGAAGTGGACGACCTCTTTGACCGTCTCGACGCCCTTGTCGACCACTTCGTACTCCGGGATGGCGTAGTCGACGTCGCCAGCGCCAGCGCCACTTGCGGTGGAGAGCTCGTCGTCGTCGGGACGCTTGTCGATGTTGAGCCTGTCTACCAGCTGCCTGTAAGCTCTCATGGAAGGCGAGATGGCTCCGTCGGACGTTGAAAGCTTGGGCGTCGTACTGGCGACGCTGAACGAGTTCTTGTTGTGAACCCTCGCACGGGAGGGGGACACGGACACGTCCCTCGACGATCTCCCCGCGGCTTGCGTGTAGAGACGGAGCCCCGCGTCTTCCATGAGCTGGAACCCCAGCTTGAGCAGGAGCTCGCCACCGGTGGCCTTGCCGGCGAGCCCGAACGCCCTGTCGAACCACCGGACGCGGCGTCCCTCGGAGCTCTTCTGGAGGGAGTCGAGCACGAGCGAGCTCACGTCGACGGTGTACGTACCCAGACGGATGTCCGGCACCTCGACGGGGACGACGGACACAACGAACCGGCGAGGCTCGAGCTTGAGGGGTTTCCCGGTGCCCGGGCCGCCGGTGAAGTAGAGGTTGCATTTGACGAAGAGCGTCTCGTCGAACTCCGCGGTGCCATCGTGCGACACCCGGGCCGGCATGGTCTGCATCGCTCCGTCCTTGGTCTCGGCCTTGCGGACGGAGACGGCGAGGCGGAGGCCGTCCATGGAGGCCGGCACGCCGCGCACGGCGGCCACCTCGATGGAGAAGAGGCACCCGGCGCGGCGCTTCCCGATGCGCGAGAGCGCGCGCACAGGCTTCCAGCTGCTCCACGCCGACGGCTTCCCCTTAGCGCTGCCACTCCCCTCGAATTCTCTGCTTGTCGACTCCACGGACGTGGTGTCGTCGGCCGGCACCGGCAGAGGCCTGGAGCGCGGCCCGAGCCACGACGACAGCGAGAGACGGCGCGACGAGCGCGCCCTCCGGCCCTCCCGCCCAACCCCATCCATGATGCGCGGTCCATCGTCGCCGGACCGCGCGATGGCGAGCGACGCGGTGCGGCGGTGGATGGCGTTGGGCCGGTCGAGGTAGTCGCTGAGCCCGCCGCCGCCTCCCAGTCCGGCCATGTGAGCGCACGCTGCACGTACCCGCTCTCCTCCTCGGCCAGCCTATCCACAACTCCGCGCACACCTTGCCAAGCTTTTCTCGAGCTGGACCATGATCCCGTGGCTGTTGAACCGTGGACCGCCATAGATATAGCTTTCGACGACCCCTCCGCGCTGCCGTCGTGTACCGCGTTGGCGCCAAGGAAGCTGAGGTTGAACCGTATAACCCGGGAAGCCAACCAAACCGCCGCCCTAATCGCGCACCGTCGCCCCGTCGGACGGCCACGATCCGTCCGCACGTCGTTGGTCCGATCCACGGCTCAGGAAGCTCCCGCCCTGCTAGGACTTGTCAGCGCTCAAGAGGACGAACGAAACGGCGGAATCGTAGCCACGGGATTTGGTTATGGATCTCGTTTGATCGGGGGTCAGTGGGGTAAAGTTGATGTGATCCGGCGTTAATGCGGCGGGGAAAACGCGTCCCCCCACGGACGTGTAGGCGGGATCAGCCGCGGCCCGGGCGACTGGGGCGGGATGGGCGAGCGTGTCGCCTTGCCCGCGAGCCGTCGCCGTCTCGCGGTCCCGCGAGAGCGTTCCGATTCGCGCGGGATTGCTTCGCCTGGATCACGTACGTGACGTCGGTGTGGTGCACGTTCGCGCGTCTGTGGATGGATAGGACGGCGATTCGTTTCGCGGGTCCTTTCGAGGAGCAGTGGTGGTGGGTGCCGGGTCTGATTGGGTTGCGAACTGTGGTCAGGGCTACTAGTTCGTTAGTTTGATTGGTTGATTAGACCGTGTGCAGTGCGTGTCGACTCGTGTGCACGCAACGGGATCGGGGATCTTTTTCAGGAAGTCGTCGACGTACTCCTCCGTCTTCGGCGTTCGTCACGGTGGGGAGTCAGGAGATTTGATCCACGACAGAACGAGTCCACGGCAAATCTCTACACGTGTGCTGTTGCTAATCACCTCAAAGAGCATGCATACCCTGTTTCAAGTGTTTTTGTCAAAGCTCTACTCCCTTTTTTAGCACGACAAATTCTGCTCTCTTTGTCTGCTAAATAAGTATTTTCAAAAAAAGTAAGGGCCTCTTTGGATTGAAGGATTTTCATAGGAATATTGGAGGATTCCAATCCATTGGATTTTTTCCTAAAGAAGCCCTTTGGATCAAAGGAACCACACCTTCAAAATTCCTATGGATGCATTCCTACACCTCAATCCTATAGGAATTTCAACATCCACTATAACCTCTTTTTTACACTGATTCGCGTAGGATCGAGGCACTTTTCCTGTGTTTTTTCTGTGTTCCATCCAAATGACCATTCTTGTAGTTTTCCTCTATTTTGTAATCCTCTGTTTTGCACCTACAATCCCGTTAAATTCTTGTGTTTTTTGAATTCCTTTGTTTTCTAATCCTGTGATCCAAAGAAGCCCTAAGTGCTGGCAGTCCGCCCCTGGAAAAAAGTAAAAAGTCAGACCATTTGGTTCCCACAGTTTGAATTGGACGTTGGGGCGGAACGGCAGGTGCATATCTACTAAAAAATTGGCAGAAGATTTTGGCTGGTTTGCAGTCGAACGTGGGCGGGTCCAGGTGGTTTGAGCTGTTGGTGCAGGTGTGCAGTAGTACGCACGTTCGTACAGGGGCGTACGGAGAAGGTCGTTGCTCGATTCGTTGCGAGGTCGTTTCCACGTGCCGTGGTGGCCAATCGCTCGAATGGTGAAATGTTATGTAGCGTGTGGGCGCAAAAAGGATGGATATTTTAGTCGGCGGGCTCTTCTTTGTTCGGAGACGTGACGGCCTACCAGTCCACCACCTTGATCAGGGAAAAAGTCCACGATTCATCTCTGATCTTGTATAGTCACTTCAAAGCGCAAAGAAGAGACCACCGAAAAGATGAGAGAGAGAGAGAAATCGTGCACAATGAGTCATTAGCAGCCGAATTACTTCCTCCATCCCATAATATAGTGTCAAAAACGTTATTATATTTCTGAGACGAAGAGAGTATTATACAGAGTTCCTTGTTCAAATGGAAGAAATTAGAAGACGAGGGGTATTGTGAAGATAAATGGGAATATAGAAAAAATTGAATAAGAAAAGTTTTTTTTGATTAGACACATGCAATTAGCGGAATGTTTTATTCAAACCACTGCAGAACCAAAATGGATGTTTTTCTGTTTATATCCGATCTTCCTCCCAAATCGAGATCTATTGTTTATAAGTCTAGCAATAAAGTAGGGACTTCAAATTAGTGAACTTATAAGAGAGTTATACATCAGAACAATAATCTTGCTTATCTATTAAAAAAAAGTGAATTAGGACCAGCAGATTTAGCAATGTGTCAGGCATATATAATTGGTACGATAAGTCATGGATACACTTCTTGATAGTGGGTCTCACGAGCAACCAACGAGGGATGGTCATAATAAAGTATACACATCACTTTCAGATATAATTGAAAATAAAGAGGGATGGTTTAGCGGGACTCTGCTTGGGAAACAGGTCAATTACTCGTGGTGTCCTGTCATTATTGTGGGTCATTTGCTTTCATTACATCAATGTGGATTACCACATGAGATAGAGATAAATCTTTTTAGCTATTTGTAATTCGAGATTTAATCACAAAACACGATACTTCTAATGTGAGGATTGCTAAAAGAAAATTTTGAGAGGAATCCATTGTATGAGAAATACTTTAAGAAGTTATGCGAGGACCTACCCTGCATAGATTAGGCATACAAGCCTTTCAACCCACTTTGTGTACTATTTCTTTACACCATTTGTGTGTAAGAATTTTAGTGTTGACTTTGATGGAGATCAAATGACAGTTCATCCATGTTTATCCTTGGAAGCTCAAGAGGAAGTCCGTTTATTATGTTATCTCATATGAATCTCTTATCTCCCCTATTGGAGATACTATTTGTGTACCAACCCAAGACATGTTTATCGGGCTTTATCCGTTAATGATTGGACAGTCTCTAGGCATTTGTGCAAATAGATAAAAAAAATTGCATAAACTATGCAGATCTAAAAGTAAATTGGAACAATAATAATTCTAAGTAGAGGAAAGATAAAAACACCATTTTTTAGTTCTTATGATACATTGGGAACTTATAGACAAACAATAATCAGTTTAGATACTCCTTTGTGTCTACGACGGAACCTGGTGAGGGAGTCCTCGACTAAGGGGTCCTCGGGCTGCCGGCCTATCTCATATGGGCCAGATAGGTGGGTCGCTCTATGACTACCAGAAGGCCGAGCTATAAGGTGGTTCCATGTTCGGATAGGAAACCTTTGAAACGTTGTGGTGTCCTCCAAGTCAAGATACGAAAATTGGCATGTTTATCTCCTTATTGTAGCCGACTATGTATAACCCTAGTACCCCTGGTGTTTATATAAACTAGAGGTCTGTAGAGGCTAGAAGAAGAACCATCATCCTACTCACCTAGGGTTTAGTTCATCTGATCTTGTGGTAGAATGACTATGTAATCATCCTATACACTTCAATATAATCAAGCATGACATATAATCAAGCATGACGTAGGGTTTTACCTCTTCGAGAGGGCCCGAACCTGGGTAAACATCGTCTCCTTCGTCCCTTGTTCCTCATTGATCCAAGATCCACGGCTCGGGATTCCCGAGATTCGCCGGTTTTGACACTGACATTGCTGCTTTCATTGAGAGTTCCGCTGTGAGATCGCCGAAGGATCGATGGCTTGCCTGATCATCGGAGATGGCATCTACACCGGGGACATCTTTGTTCCCGGCCAGCTCTTCGCGTTTGGTGGCATTGTTTTGCATGCCAACCCAGCTGGTCACCTCGACCAGGTTGATAGTTTTGCCCCTGGGCATCAAATCATATTCGAGAACCTAGAGTACGTCGCCGATGCTCAGTGCGATCTGATCTTCACCGGGTTCTCGGCCTTACCTAGGCGCCCGAAAACCCTAAAGCTTTGACTTCAGACTCTCTTTCCAACCCTATCCTTCGGTCGGCCCTTACCTCGGATCCAGCTTCAAGTCCAGATGTGACTTCGGTGTCCGAAGACCAGGAGTCAACCCTGGCCGGACTCGCCTCTCACACCACCATACCGGAGGTTGACTCAGAAGAAAACCCGAATACTGATCCGGCTGGTCTCTCCCTATTAAGCGAGATGCTAGATCGGGTCCAGACGATGAATATCACGGATGACCCGCCCTCGACCTATGCTCGGATTGGTCTTGAGGTGGGCCACAGGGAATTTTACGTCCCACCCACCACCCACTTAGTAGCCACTGTCGAAAATTTAACCGACATGCTGGACTACGCCTCTGATGAGGCCGACACATGGATGAAGATTTCGATGCCACGGCTCACATTGTTACCGCCCCTCCCACCACCGGACGGTGGTCGACCAACTCCACCTACGATGTCTATATGGTGGACACCCCGAACGGTAAGTACGATGGCACCAATGGGAATAACGGCGATGGCACCCCCAGAAAAGATGGCGATAAGCCCAGCAAGGTGCCGCCCAAATGCCGATGACATCGCTGATGATCCAAGGGGCGCAGGGGCAAGGAAAGCAACACAGGCACCAGAGAAAACGGCACCCCGGACAATATGGAAGACCTCGGCGCCCCCGTCGTCCTTGAGCAATAGCACGATGACTCAGAGGGGCACAAGGATCAGTATAACCCTGAGGACCTCAATGATTTTGAGGACAGTAGCTAACTCCCTCTCTCCAAAGAGGAGGTCAACCTCGAAGCCAAGGATTTCATTGTCCCTGAGGACCAAGAGCAGTTCTATGATGCCCCTGATTTGATTGTGCACTAATCATACATGCAAATGTGTACGATCAAGATCAGGGACTCACGAGAAGATATCACAACACAACTCTAAACACAAATTAAAGTAATACATGCTTTATATTACAAGCCAGGGGCCTCGAGGGCTCGAATACATAAGCTCAAAACACAAGAGTAAGCGGAAGAAACAATATCTGAGTACAGACATAACTTAAACAAGTCTGCCTTAAGAAGGCAAGCACAA